GACAGACCACTGACGGTTAGTAAACCGGGATACAATTTTTGAATATGTTCTGCTCCGAAGATAGCTGGATGTGAGAATGCAGAAGAAATTTTAATCGATTACATCAGATCACTCAAGGTCAATCTTCTGGAGTTTGTTTATCTGATCCACTTCCATTAACTATTAGCACATTTTCAATTGACCCGTCGGAACGATGTTATCGGATGCCGATAAGCGGAGACAAATCAGCGTGCGAGGGGTTGCACAGGTTGAAAACGTTGCTAACTTGAAAGCTGCCTTCAATAGGCATTTGCATTTTGATGTTGTGAAGGATAGAAATATTGCTACACCTCGGGATTTCTACCACGCACTGGCACGTACGGTATGGGATCACTTATGCTCACGTTGGATTCGAACACAACAGTTTTACCATCGAGAAGATCCCAAGGTAATTGTTTCCGATGTGTCAGTACTGTTTTCTTGTTTTTTGAACTGCTTTTAAGGTTAATCAGTTTGTTTCGCAATGGCGATCGTTAAATTTCTTTTGCTGTTTTCGGGTTTATAACTCGGGGTTTAATGTTTTTCCGGCAAAGTAATTTTTCATTGATTCCCTGTATCCTTCCATAATAATAGTGTCTGAGGCGTATTGGCACAATTCAAAAGCATTATCGGGTTGCCCGCCGTTTGCGAAACCGATATATATGTTGTTGTAGTGGTCATGTTCTTTTCTTCCCTAACTTTCCGCATTTTTCATTTTCAGCGTATTTACTACTTATCACTCGAGTTTTACATGGGGCGTACACTCACCAACACAATGCTCAATGTGGACATAGCGGCAGCAATCGATGAGGCTCTCTACCAGGTTTGTGATTCGTTGTATTGCTTTAAAAATTCATGTAGTAACTCTACCATTTTTTGACTGACATATTCGCAGCCAATGTGTCGAATTTGTTCCTTTAAGTCCCTTTTATAAATTCAAAACTTAAGCGAGTAATAAATAGCTCATCAGAGTTTGGTACTATTTGGTATAGAACCGGGCCACAACTAAGCTGCCTACTCCCAAAGTTTGTGGTGGCGGGCTCGAACCTCAGACCACAGGGTTCAAAACGCCGGTGACAGCGACCAAACCGCTGTGCCACCACTACCTAGCGTGCTGCAATTTCCGAGGTTCACTCCAGGGGTATGGGTAGGTTTCATTATGTTGCCAGAGCGGTTTCCTGCATAATCCTCATTGTGATAGGCGGCATGGGGATTAAAGACCGTTTTGGAACACCTATGCTGCACTCTCTCAGAGACCGAAAACTGTAACAATCAGCACTGGTCAACAAGGAAGCAACGTAGCCTACTATTGGTAGACGATACTCATCGATTTCGTTTTTTGTGAATTTGGATGCATTTTAACTGCAATGTTGAATGATGTGTTTGAGAGCGTGATGTACGATGGAACTGTCTGATGTTTAATGTTCATCAGCTTTCTGACACCACGCAAGAGCGTTCTCCATGGATCTGCTACAATAGTCCCTCGCTCATTTTATTCACACAAGTCAAACGGAAATCCGGAATTCACCGGTGTGAGCTCTTTATTGTCAGCTCCTGCTGTCAGGGCATGGGACCCATGATTCTTCATTGTAGCACACAATAGTTACCTTCTTCACGTTTACATATCTGTTGGAAAGCTTTAGTCTTTGCATTGCAACTAAGGTGTCGAGTGCTGTGTGCAAACTGATGAACTAATTTTTCACTGGTAGTATTGGGTGTTACTCCGTAACAAGTACATGTGCTTTCCTGCATTTGGTTAATGTACGTTCACATTGAATGTAACTGCGTCTTGTAGGCTAGTCGTGATACGATCCTTTCCGGTACCGTCGGTGAACGCAAGGAAAACAAATTGGCCCTGTTCATGTTAGTTATCGGGGGAATAAACCATTTATGGGCCCCAATAGATTGAAGTAGCTACTGTGGAAGTTGGAATGAAGAGTAAAAAACGAAAAAGGGTAGAATGTGTGGTTGATGTTCTAAGGTATTCATCGATTTAGGATCGCTTCGGGGAACCCTTCATTGTTACCAACCGGGATACGATTAAGTAGATATATTGAAACGGGTACAGACCTGCTTGGTTTGGCTGGTAGTTGAATGGAGTCACGGCACTATAAGATCCGACAACCATAATTTTGTTCCATTAGTTCATAATTCGTTTATCAAAAAAGTCTAACGCAGTCTAGTTTTACTTTCTCGCTTTAAGCACATCCTTTTAAACCATCCCCATGAGGATAATAAACTGATGCAACTGGGACCTTCCATACATTTGAAGGTTTCTTATGGATCCTTTCTCAATCGTCTTCACAAAGAAATGATCTGCGGAGATAGGCGTAGGTATTATGTTTTTGACTCTACCATTTTAGTAGCTATTTGCTATACTGTATGGACGAAGTTTATATCTTTCGCCAAATATGATGACCATACTTGGATGCAGTATTTCAGATACTTCCTGATAATGATTTTGTATAGTAGTACAAAAACCTAGTAAACGTCAACTCCCTCTTACATCGGAAAAGCTGTCGGCACAGAGAAGATGGTTTGAAGCTGGTTGTGATGCGCATACCCGGATCTTACCTATCGATAGTTTTCTTAATCAGAATTAATTCTGCCGTGTGTCTAGCGCACATAGCTTTTTCGTGTTGTTGGAAACATTACTTGAAGACTTGCTCCATTTTTGGATACCTGTCTATTCCAAGCGGATGTTATCGATGCTTGAAGATAGTGTTCATCACAGACTTTGTTATTAAATATCGCGAGTGTTATTTTTCCAAACGTTTATCTTGTAAGTTAGTTAGTTTGAATGTGGGGTCTAAAGCACAGCGCCATCACTGTATCTAGTCCAAAAGGGCACCAACGGGCTCTATAGTCATCCCATATTGTTTTCCGTTGCAGAAACTGTTCTCTCGATTACGGTAGTTTAGTTTGCGATACAACTGTACCTTGCTCAACCAAGCTTTTCGTGGCCACAGCTGTCGGATACCCGGTAGGAGTAGCTGATCCGACTCGGAGGGATATCAGCCCCTTTGGGGTATCCTCCGTTTCCACCAGGCGTTCAGCTCTCATCTTTGGCTCCAAGAATCTGTTTGGATACAACAGCGGCCACACCGGTAGATCGCTCGATAAACGGACCAAGCCAGGTTGAGGATAAGCGGGAACCGAAATCCTGGCTATTCAGTGTCTGACGTACTTATTGGGCGGATGAAGTAGCTTTGACGACTCAACGGTCAAGGCAGTGACTCCGTACTCATCAGGGATGCATAGACCTCTATTCAGCTAACAACTATCAATGGCTTGTGAGCTCCCTCCCCCCAGAGGGCCACCGGCAACCATGCACTACTTTCTTGCTGCCTTGCAGTTAGCACTTGGATGTACAAAGGCTAGGGATGCCACCTCGATCAAAAGCCGGGTGACACTGGGGACGTTTCCCATACCTAACTCCTAATAAATTTCACTGATATTCACTTGATATCCATAAACCCGGCTTATCCTCTCCCAGGAACCAGTCGCCGTAAAGTAAGTAAGTAAGTTGTGCTCTCGGTGGCACGGTGGGGTTTGTAACCACCTGTCTACAGTATTCAAGACTTCAATTCATTTATTGGGTCGGAAACACGACGTGGATATACCTTAAAAGTTCAGGTCACGTCATATTCACCGGAGCATGCATCCGACCACATGCTGACAGCGCCATCAGAACGCGATTAGGGTTTTTATGCCAATTATCCACCTTTCCATACTTTGCGCTTATTCGACAAGACTGGATGAAAGTTTGCGGCTGTCATACCATGACTGCGTAGGGGTATTAAGAGGTTAGGCTTCGGTTGGCGCCACCCGCCATCCAGGCTAAGATCCGAAGCGTAAGCAATATCATTGATTATAGAGATATAGCTTAGAATTAGTCAGTTGCGCGAATGCTATCTGTTTAAGTCCCGTGCCCTGAAAAATGACAAACAAACAAGAGGTCAAGAAGTGTACGATGAAACAAATCAAAGAAAACCCATGTTGTTGTTGTTTTCCTCTGTAATTGTTTTCCACGTTGTTCTCTTCTGTAACTCAGTCCCACATTTTTCTGTCACTATTGTTACATCGGCACCATGCTTGTCCGCAAGCTGGTGATATACTGGATTTTTGGCACTTAGCAGGTTACGGGATTAAGCGTCAATGAAACTTAATACACTGGTGTTTTTGCGTGTGATCGAGATAGTTGAACTTTTTGTCTGAATACCGTATTGGTGATGAAGGTTTAATAATATTAAGCGTGAAATTTTCCTTTTCATGGTTTTTAAATTGTGTTTACATTAAAGTAGTGTACGTGAAAAGGCTTTTCCGGTTCAACCGGACTTCGTAACTGTTGTCATTTTATCAAGTGTGTGTGTGTGTGTGTGTGTGTTGAACGTCAATTGTATTTAATCTTGGTTGCAGTTGGGGCTGGATATCGAAGATCTGGAAGAGGTTGAATCGGACGCGGGTTTGGGGAACGGTGGTCTGGGTCGACTGGCCTCTTGTTTCCTCGATTCTATGGCTACATTGGGTTTGGCTGCCTACGGTTATGGCATCCGATATGACTACGGCATTTTCGAACAAATCATTCGAGATGGTTGGCAGGTACGTTTGGATGATTCCTTTCTTTAATATTCTTATGAATCTGGTGCGACTGTTATTCTTGCTTGTATTTACAACCCATCCATTCGTTGAGATGCAAGAATAAAGTTAGTCGAAAACAGAGTAATGTGCATAAAATTTGTGCGTATCGAAGCTTTCCTAAACAGTGAAGTTCATGGTATCTAAGGTATATTGATCACATTATCTTTCTCTGTGCAAAATCTCCTTTGGTAAATAACCGAAACATCTGCGAATGTTGTCCTCTGCATTCTGTTATAAAAATGAGAAGCGGGAATCCTTTGGGTGAAACTGGTGCTTCTTTAGGCATGGATTATGTCCGGAAAGTCAGCCAAAAGAAGAGTAGATTCCCCTGATATGTCAGATTTTCAGAATTCCAGTTACTACTGGCTCATAGTTAGCTCAACAGTGGCCATACCTCTAATTGGGGGAATGGTTTGTTACGGACCCCAAATGGTGTTACTATCCTAGCCGATTTCAATATCGTAATCAGGAATGGTTGACACACTTTGGGACACAAAGCCATACCGGCCAGTTAACCTTCCGACATGTATCCGCGATCGAGATGACTACCGTGCCCATAGTCTTGATCTCATTTTCACTTTGGTCAGTTCTCTTCTTCTTCTTCTCCTCGTCAACTTCACTCTCCACGATCCTCCATCCACCTCGGTATATTTTTGGTTACAACTGAGCGGAATGGAACGATTTTCGCTACTTTGCAACTTAGAACGAGCGCCAGACGCGTCTTCAAGAAGCTTCAATCTGCTCTGCATTTGAACGTCTGGCGTCACGCGTGGGGCGGAGCTTTGACTTTTGCTTTTTCCTTTCTTGGTCGTGTTCAACGGATGACCATTCCTCAGATTCCAATCTGGGATCACCAACCCATCGTCTAGCTGTTGCTTCGTTGTCCCGTTTACTACCGTCATTATTTGGGTTTTCGTTCTTCCGAGTTCTGCTCGTCGTGTGCTCCTGTAGCACTTGTCCGCGCATCCTGTACACTGTCAACTACTGATTGGATTTGTGTCACTGGATATACTTCTCTCTTTTCCCCCCCCCCCTCGAACAATTGTTTTATGCAAGAATTTCAC